TTAATGAAATTCAGGTACTGATATACCAAGTTCTAGTTCATGCAGTTGTGCCTGGCTTGGGTTAGGCTACCGTGCCCAGCTCCTTACTGTTGTTGCCCTTGAGGGTGGGCCTGCTGTACACCTCTGGTAAGATGATCTGTTCCTGGATTAGCTGTGTGGTTTTGACCCTAGTCTCACTGCAGGGACTTTAGCTGCAGGGTTTTACCTCAAGCCTGTATGCTAGGTCTGGTCCGGGTCTGGAGGGGTATGAGGAACCAGGGGCAAGAGAGCCCAGAAGCTCTCCCACACACTCACCAGTGTTGTGTTTTGGTGGGTCTGCAGGACTCCCAGGCGTGCAGCAGAAGTTCTTACTCAGATGGCGGGCTGTGCTGGCTCTGGCCAGGCGGGGGAGGTCCGGCTAACAAGGGCAAAGGCCTCTTATGCAGCGGGCCTGGGTTTGGAGTGGTGGGCGGGCCAAGGACAGAGCAGAAGCTCTTCCCCACACTTGCAAGGCCTGGGGTTGATTGGATATGGAGAGCTCAAGGCGTGGCGGAAGTTCTCAGAGGGCGGGCTGCGCTGAGTCTGGCTGGGCGGGGGAGGTCTGGAGAATGCCAGGAAGTGCCTCTCACGTGGCGGGCCTAGGACAGAGCAGAAGCTCTTCCCCACACTTGCAGGGGCTGGGGTTGGTTGGCGCGGCGGAAGTTCTCAGAGGGCGGGCTGCGCTGAGTCTGGCTGGGCGGGGGAGGTCTGGAGAACGCAGGAAGTGCTTCTCACGTGGCGGGCCTAGGACAGAGCAGAAGCTCTCCCCCACACATGCAGGGGCTGGGGTTGGTTGGCGCGGCGGAAGTTCTCACTCAGAGGGTGGGCTGCGCTGGGTCTGGCCGGGCGGTGGAGGTCTGGAGAACGCAGGAAGTGCCTCTCACGTGGCGGGCCTAGGACAGAGCAGAAGCTCTCCCCCACACTTGCAGAGGCTGGGGTTGGTTGGCGCGGCGGAAGTTCTCAGAGGGCGGGCTGCGCTGAGTCTGGCTGGGCGGGAGAGGTCTGGAGAACGCCGGAAGTACCTCTCACGCGGCGGGCCAGGTCCTGGAGCGGCAGACGGGTGCAGGACAGAGCAGAAGCTCTCCCACAGACTGGCAGGGCCTCGGGTCGGTGGGATATGGAGGGCCCAAGGCGCGGCAGAAGTTCTCAGAGGGCGGGCTGCGCTGGGTCTGGCCGGGCGGGAGAGGTCTGGAGAACGCCGGAAGTGCCTCTCACGTGGCGGGCCTGGGCTTGGAGCGGCAGACGGGTGCAGGACCGAGTAGAAGCTCTTTCCCATACTCGCAGGGCCTGGGGTCGGTGGGATATGGAGGGCCCAAGGCGCAGCGAAAGTTCTCAGAGGGTGGGCTGCGCTGGGTCTGGCGCGCCGTGCTGGGTCTGGCCGGGCGGGGGAGGTCTGGAGAACGCGGGGAAGTGCCTCTCACGCGGCGGGCCTGGAGCAGCAGCGGCGGCGGCGGGCGGGCGGGGGCGCATGCAGGACAGAGCAGAAGCTCTCCCCCACACTCCACTTCCATCTTCTGCCTCGCCTCCTAAGTGCTAGAATTACAGGCGTGTGTCACCACTCCCGATTTGAGACCCTGTCTTACTCGTGTGGTGGCACACGCCTGGAATCTTAGTGCTCTGAAGACAGCGTTGTTAACCCTGAAATTTCATTCCGTGATTTTAAGATGTGGATGCTTTAAATGGCTGTGATCTTGGTTCTGTTTGTGCTCGGCAAGCAAAGCCCGGTGGGTTTGCAGGTGGCGTCTCTGGGCCCAGAAGGCAGGACTGGAGGCGGGGGCGAAGGTCAAAGTCTTCTCTGGGTGGTTGCCAAGCATGCTCTTTCTACCGCAGGCCGTGGACAACATGAACGGAAAGGAGGTGAGTGGGCAGCAGCTGTACGTGGGCCGGGCCCAGAAGCGAGCAGAGCGGCAAAACGAACTGAAGCGCAGGTTCGAGCAGCTGAAGCAGGACCGGCAGACCCGCTACCAGGTAGGTCAGGACTCCGCTTCTCTGCAAAAATGGCTGTGTTTAAAGTTTCCTGATTGTGACTCCTCCTAGCCATCCTACTTCTGGGAACTGGGCTAGGGGCAGGAATCATGGTCTGCCCTGCCTGGCTTGTCACAGTGGAGTGATCAGATACTACCCAACCATGAGATAGGGGACAGTTTGGGTTACTACTGACTGCACAGTTGGAATAATCCTTTGTGTGGGACTGGCTAGCATCCCTTGACTCTGCCTATGTAGTGCCTGCTGCATTCTGCAGTCACAGAAAACCAAAGTGCCTTACACATTTCTAAGTGCCTCTGCAAGAAATCTTACTCCAGGTAGCAGATAATTAGGCCACAACTGTCACCTTCAGATGTCACAAATTTGTGGTCATTAAAGTTATATTAAGTTATTAAATTGGATTAGGGTTAATATTGTAGATGAAGGAAACACCTCTAAAACATTTAATGGAAGCTGGCTGGGCGTGTTGTGTATACCTATAACCCCAGCACTCAGAAAGCTGAGGCTGTACGTGTGTGGATTTTTTTTTTCCATAATTTTATTGAGAAACAAATAGCAATGAGACAGTTTCAAACCAAATTGGTAGGGTAGTTTCAATAATTAATGAGTGTGGATTTGAGGCCAGGCAATTTAATGAGTTTAAGGCTGGCCTGGACTACACAGTGAGACCTTTAAAAAAAAAATGAACCAAGTTTAAAAAAAAAAAAAAAAGTAGGTCCCTCAGGGAGAGCTGTATTCCATCCGGCTGAGCGCTGAGCCTCAGCTCACCCTAGACTTTAGGCCTTTCTCTGTGGCTCCCATCTGTAATATGAGCAGAGGCCTGGACCTGTGCAGGTTTATGAAAACTGCCAAGGCCTTTGGGGGCCATGAGCGGCAGCTTCCAAAGGCTGTCAACATGCAGGGAAATTGGGGTGCCGGTCCATGGTTGGGCTGGCAGCGTGCCCAGCATGCCCTGCCCAAGGCAGTTTGGGGCTTTGGAGATGGTTCCAATGATTTTCCCTTTCTTCAGGGTGTGAACCTGTACGTGAAGAACCTGGACGACTCCATCAGTGATGAGAAGCTGAGGGCAGTGTTCTCTCCCTATGGAATGATTACCAGTGCAAAGGTGAGGGCCACAGCACCCCCTGGGGTAGCCTTTCCTTTATTCTTCCTCTTGTTCCCACCAGCCTCTCACCTGGCTTCCAGGAGTGGTGCTGGGCTCCTCCACTGGGGCTCTGTGTGACCACAAGAGAGCTGAGTGTCTGTAGTTTTGTCTGGTTGCAAGAGAAGAAGGAAGACATATACTCCAGTGTCTACCTTATGCTAGGTTCCAGACATTTATTTCTCAGTATTTGTGTAGACTTTTGTTGTCTGGCCTTGCCTAGTGTTGTAAGCCTTTCTAGGCCTCAGTTTCTCCTTCTGAACAATGAAAGCTGGGCTGCATCATTCTTCACCATCTATGCAGCACCACTGTGTTCAGCCCTGTGAGCACCAGAGATGTAATACCTGGCCATTCTACTCTGTAGCTCAAGACCTTGAGCCATCTCTGAGCCTCATTATTGAGAGTGCTGGACTCACCAATTCCCAACCCTGGCCTCTCGTTCAGATCACTTCGGGACTTCTTCAGTATGGACACCTGGATCCAAGTACAGACTTTAGGGGTCAAATCCAGGCACTTTCCTTTACAAATTCCCCAGGTAGTGAGTATGGTAGCACACTTGTAATCCTAGCACTTGAAAGGCTGAGGCAGGAGGGTTGCCATGAGCTCAAGGCCAGCCTAGACTATAGAGTGAGAGCTTGTCTCAAAAAACCACAAAATGATTGCCCACTGCCTAGGCAAGTGCAGGGACTGACTGGAATTTGATCCCCAGCACCACATGTTTGCCGGCCCCATCCCTAGGCACTCTGAACCAGCCACCTAGTCTGGGCATGGTGATGCACACCTGTAATCTCAACTCTGGGGAGGCTGAAAACAGGAGGATCACTATGACTCTGAGCTGCATAGTGAGACCCTGTATCAAATACATTTTTAAAAAGTTGAAAAATAATTGGCCCAGATGATTTTAGGAGGATGTAATATGCCAGGTGCTATGGCACAAGCCTGTAATCCCACTTACTTGGAAGACTGAGGCAGGAAGATCAAGAGTCTGAAGCCATCCTGGGCAACTTTATGAGACCCATTCTCAAAATTTTTAAAATCCTGGGGAAGTAGCTCAGTGGTAGAGTGCCCTAGCCTACACACAAAAAAAAGCCTGGGTGGAAGCTTCATGGTAGAATGTTTGCTTAACATGGGCTCTATCCCCCGTGCCACAGAAACATGACTGAATGTTTATTCATTCTATGCAAGGCTCTGGAAAGCCTCTAACAATGAATCAGATAAACTGGGTGTGGTCCTTGCCTTTGAGAAGCTTATAGTCTACTGAGAAAGTCAGACTGTTGATAACTCATATATTTTAAGAAGGGGGTGGGTTCAGAACTGGAGGTGGAGCTTGGGGATCTCTGGGACAGGAGGGCAGGCTTCCCTGGAGGAAGTGTGAGTGGTGCCCGTATTTGACTTGGCTGTGAGGAGGTAGGGAGCCATGGGCAGGAATGTCTCTTCCAGAAAGATCAGTGTGGGTGATAGAGGGGGCTGGGGCCGAGCACATGCGATCTGATGCTTGAACTCTTTAAGTAGTCAGGAAATTCTCATTTGTCTGTTGAATCTTAAACTTCTTATAGGAAGCCCAGTGTGTGTGAAAGCACTTAGGCTTTTTGGGTAATGGACCCTTAGATATGACCGAAAGCTATGGGACCGTAAATTTGATTTAGCGTAATACAAAGTCCACAGGCCCTCTTTCCCAGTGAGTGCATGCATGCATAGTATGTGGTTGACAGTTGGTATCTTTCAGTTGATCTAAGGCCCATTTGCACCATTTTCTAGCTTAGCATCTACTCAGCTGGCTGCCTATGGAGCGTCTGCATATCCTAAGCCTGGGAATATTGATTATTGTGATTGTTTGCCACACAGTACCTATAAGCTCAGGAGATTAACTGACCTCGAGGGTTCTTTGGACAAAGGGACAGTATAAGTTTGGATTGCCCAGAGTTGAGGCACACCTGGGGTGGTCATCTTTTTAGTAGGCCACCATGTAATAAGATGGGAATTTTATATTTTTCTATTATAAATTAACTTGTACACCACTAGCAAACTCAGATTAAGTTCTATACAAGCGTTACCTATCTAACTGTATCATGTATTTGGTACAGGGTCTCACTACGCAGCTCAGACTAGTAGTGATCCTCCTTGTCAGAGCCTCCTCAGCACTGGAATTACAGGCATGCACCACCACGCCCAGTTCTGGGGCCAGCGCAGCGTGTGGTACTGGGGATCAAACCCGGGTTCTTGCGCTTGCCACACACTTAGACTGCTGAGCTATCTCACCAGCCCCCATAAATGTTATATTTACTAATTTTATTATTATTATGTTTTATACTGGGGACTGAATCAGAGCTTTCTTGCCTGGCCCCTTTGTTATTTTTTATTTTGGACAGGATCTTGCTAAATTGCCCAGGCTGGGTTTGCACTTATAATCCTCCTGCCTCAGACTCCAAGAGTGCTGGGGTTACCGTGTGTGCCGCCATACCTGGAACATACCAACAGTTCTTTTTTTTTTTTTTTTTTTTTT